GAGAAAGGATGAGAAGCTGTTTCGACTTGGTTGAGTCTCATCAGCATTGTGAATCCACCGCTCCAACTAGGGGTCGAACGCGGGAACTAACAGGTAGAGTGTAAGCATATTAACCACCAGACCATCGAACAGCCAATCAAACATTTTTCGTTCCATATTTACATGAGACAGCATTACCCATTTTGTGAGCTTGTTTCGGGTATCACACCTCAGTAGTCTCAGCTCTAGACCCCGCAGTTATGACATTCTAAGCTGATTGCTTGTTATATGAGACTAGCAGAGCATCTGATTCAATTCTATACAATCTTTCTCAATAATTTTCATTTGCTTGATTTGAATAAAATCTCCATCCAAAGCTGCCAAACTCTCAATCTATTTTTTGGTTGGTCACAAATTTACCCATGTCCGCGTATACCCTTGTGTGTACTTTGGGTTTGAACCAACGGTTTGTCACTCTGGGTTCAGAGTGTAGCCTTGAAAAACGCACAGCGTGGATTTACTCATCTAATCTATACGTTGGAAGCATCGTATGACCTGACACGTTTCAAAGTATACATCTAGTTGTGCAAATTCTTCGACGAGTTCCGCCACCTGAAAAATCGATAAATAAAAGCGGTAAAGGTATCCGTGCTATCACTCCGAACGACGTGTGTTCGAATCCCAACACAATCACCTAAATTCACCTTTTTTATCTGTGTTGCATAGTAATCCTTTGTTCGGCCACTTTCCCTTCCTGAAAATTGTGCGATTGTATATTTAATAAAATGAAGAAAAAGAAATTAGAACACACAATTTCGAACTGTTGTTACCGTTTATCTACATGTGTTGATCAAACTCGTGCAACATCACCCCCATTTTAGAAATCCATTTCAGCTTGCAATATCATACTTATATTTAGATGGATAAGAGTTAAGTATATATCTATCTCGCCTAACGAGTTGGAAGGGAAGTGAATATTTAGCACATTGTCGTTGGTCTTCTGCATACGCCAATATGGACATGGCAACGTTTCTTACATTGATAAGGGAGGTCACTCTTAAGATGCATTCACGGAAGTCATACTTTTCACGCATGAAGGTTGGTATATCGCCTCATTTGAGATTGGTGGTAGAAAACGGTTAGACCTAAATAAATATTATTTTTTCACATTTATGCAGTCTCTGGAGGGGTCAAGTTCAATGTCAAAATCGTTCTATTACGGCGCAGCAACTGGGATTTTAATTTAATCGAAACCATTTCCTTCTATCTGAAACAGGGTTAAGTTAGCTACCTTGCCATTGATCGCCAGTGGTAAGGATGTGCGATGTATTAGCGGAAAATTGTAAATTCTGTTTGGCAGTCAACTTGGTGGTTTCCATGCGAAAGCGACTGCCTGCAGTGCTCAAAAATGAAGGAAAGCAAATGGAACATGAACGAGATGAAAGCACAATACCTGTATAAAGCTCATGAGTCATTTTAATAATTAATTAAAGTTACATTCTCTACTGTGACTTTGGTATCTTACAACTGATGCGTCAGCAACCGTCGTCAAAATCGCGAAATTGTACATTTTAATGACATGTAGATAACAGAAGCAGTGACATAAGTGGGTATTATATCAGATATATTGCGTCTGATGTGAGGCAATATCATGTTCAACCTCGTAAATGACGCTGGAAAAACAAAGCATTGAGAGGAACAAATGTGATGAAAATCAGGATGTTGCACGAGTTTGGTCAATACCTGTATACACCGAATCTTAGCATTTTAAAATTTGGTGTACAGACCGAAAACGACAGCATCTGTAATATTTCACATGGAATGCGTTCAATGGTTCTTCAGCTAGGTAATATTAGCAATAATGACAATACTAGTAATAATAATGGATAACAAAATTTCTCGTGGGTATATTTTGCAGTGGCAAAAACGCCAAAAACATCCATAAGTAAACCATAGGCCTTATCTACCCAATGATGAAGGATAGATATTCCGACAAAACAATGCTCATCACTATTGTTGATTAGCACATACGTTGTGGGAAGCGTTCATCTGAGGACGCTCTCGCCAAGTTGACGGAAAATGGATACCTGGAAATAATATCTCATTGGTGCATATTTTGAATGTCTTTCTTGCTGATAAAATGCTGACGTCCTCGGTGGATCTTCATCAGATTATTGTGGGTCCAAATATTGCTCGGTGAGAGTAACTCATCGCAATGTATTATTCAAATTGAAATGTGATCGAAAATATCGGTTGGATTGACGGTTTGCACAGTCATATAGTCGTCACAACGCAGACTTGATCGTGTTCCGGTATTCCGATCACGGGAGTCAGACACATTGGAACAAGCAGTGTCCAAGTTTACGTGAGCCAAAATAGTCGAATAGTATGCATAATGTGGCTTCTAGGTAGCATGGGTTCTCGCTCTAAGTCTCAGAGAGCAATTAGTCACGTGAAAGCTGTCGGATAGCTGTTGAGCGTCTGAACGGTGCTGACCTGTTGGGCTAATGAAGGTTGTGAAATACACCAGGGGGGGGGGGAGCAAGTTTCAATCAAATGATCATCAGACGCGATGTCGGATGCCGATTTAGAATGCCGAATAGTATAGTATAGAATAGAATAGAATAGAATAGATAGATAGATACATAGATAGATGGATAGATAGATAGATAGAAGAGAATAAATGGCTAACATAATAATTCGGCAACTGAGCGTTGATTCTCGTTGTTTCGTTCTTTTTAAACACCTCAAACGAAAGGCAATTCGTTTTAACAATAGACACATAGATACAGTGTGGTTGAACAAGTGTTTCATCACATCGGTGTTCCCTGTTGTAAAAGGTGACGTGAGATCGTGCTGAAGCATGCTGAGTTCGGAGTTGTCCACAAATTCACAGCCCATATTCATCATTGCATGCCTACGTACGAACACCACATTACCTGAGGTCGAATGAGATGCTTAGAAAACTATTCTGTCGTTTGTTCCAATTACACTCACTCTTAAAATCACTGTTTGTTCTTGAAGTTCTCACCTGTAATTTCTCTGCCAACGATTTTCTGGTAGATTATTCTACAGAGCACTTTATTTGTGGAACATAAATGCGAACAGGTTAAGTTGCATACCGAAAGTGCAAGTAGTGACGTATTGAAATTTTACCACCTTTGTTGAATGAGACCAATGCACAAGATATGGATGAGAACATTCCGACCATGTCAAAATGTTTTGCTTCAATGACCAGAGGATTCTAAACCACCAGATAAGAATTCATGATCACTGTTTGATAGTTGGTTCGATCATTATCGAACACATCGACCACTTATTAAAAACTTGAACAGGCAAATGGCACGTGAGTATGCACACGAGCACCTCGTTTCTAGCCTCATTACCAAAGGGACAAGTTCAGGCAGTTTGATCTCTGCCAACTGCAATCAATTCATCAAACAATAACCATTAGCCCATACTTAAAACTCACCAGCACTGTCGACTGTATGACAAGAAAAAAAACATTACTTATTATTGTCATTAAAAAGCTAAGTGCTAATGTGGTTCTATACGTCACATGGATCAGTTTTTTCAGTCACACGGATCGTAGTGCATTAGCTCTCTTTCTCGACTGAGTCTGTCTCTGAAACCAGCTCGGTTATCGTTCCGGTTCCGGCAGTTCGTGCGCACACGCACCACACACACACACACACGGACACACACACACACACACGTCACACTGTTGCTCTGCGAATAAACCAGCTGGGCAAAAACAAATTTTCACGCTTGCTCGCACAACGCACACACACGGGTGTTTCGTAGCACGTGCCACTGTGTGCATGACGTAAATTAAGACCGGGCAGATTGGACATACTTCCTCGGGGCAAGGGAGCATTGGTCAAATGCAAATTGGCCATCACAAATTCTACAACAAATCGGTGTCAGAGAGAGAGAGAGAAATTTCTACGGCTGTCCCAAAGCGTCCCCTATTAACATAAATATTTATCCACATCAAAAATCGAGAAGAGTTCGAGAAGGAATAGTTACGCTGTATACATTTTTGGGGGGTCATAGTACGACTACCGGCATCGACGTATATTTGAAGAATACGTGGCGGTAGAGATTAGTATTCTTTTATATCAGTAGGCTTTGCGTTAGTGGTTCTCACTCAACACAATCAATCAATGAATGGTGACATCAAAACAGGTATAAACGAGCAAAAGAAAATCAGTAATGAATAGTCTGAGATAATAAATTTCTGATCCTTACCAATGCTGATTTCAGAAACTGACATACCACTTGATAGAACACAATCGTTGTGCCTGTGTACTACACATTAACAGACTGTCCCGGTGCGTTTACCATCCTCTGTTGTGTTAGTTTGATTCAAACTGAGCGGTCGAGCGGAGTTTGCCTACGAAGTGTTCTGAACTGGTGTTAAAGGTGAAAACCAATACAGTCAAATCAGATCTGCGTAGTCCGTGCACCATCTGTCACAGTCAGTTAATTGCTTAGAAATCGAAGTGAAATCAGGTATATGTACTATAATTGACAAACAATAACACATCTCATTATCAATGTCCTCATCCAAAGAGTTGTTAGTATCTTGGTTACAGTCAATATTTTCATTTTCAACAAATTAAATGAAACGTCACCAGGAAAGGACATTGGAGCTTCTTTTGACCGACAGCTTTGATTATAATATTCTTACATGGGTCTCGACCATAAATACACCATTGAGGTGGTAATCAGTTTCACTGTTACTGAGACGTGTTTCGTCTATTCTATCAGAGCCTTGTGCGTTTTACTTCCCTCAAAGTTAATGGAACTAAAATATCTCAAGTGAAAAATGTTACTCCAAGTTAAGAAAATGAACCTCAGAGTAACAATTAGAAAGCAAGACCACAAATGCCATGTGTCATATTCCAATCACTATGTCCCCATAGCTTTTGGGTGAAACTGATCGAACAACACTCATCGCATACTCTTTCCTACATCCCGTTCAATTTCAGATCTGGGCATCGTGTCTACTAGTCCTGATGATCGCATCTGTCATGTGCTATTGTTTATCCACTCACGAAGGCTTCCGTATGCGATCCACTGTGGGCATCCGGCCCGTGGTGCATCAGGCTACAAATGTGACCGATGTATCCAATTCCAGCGCGTCAGGAAATTTGACCAGTCTGATCCAAGGGCCTCTACCCACAAGAGCACCTGGTGCTCCAGCCATCTGGAATCCCTTAGCGCCAAAACACCGCAGTACCCGACTGAACGTAACTGGCAATGCAAGTGCCTCGGGTGACACGTCCGGGGCGGATGGGGAACTGGATGACGATTCGGACTCCTCACAGCTTATCACCATTTGTTACGATTCGCTGTGGAATCTCAACCCAAAGGTGAAAAAAGATTGTTTCACCGAACCAACCCGTGGTCTGGTGATGCTGGACAACGCATTGAATTGTCTATTCACGGCCGAATTTATGCTCAAAGTGCTTTTAGCACCAGACAAACCAAAATTTCTTTCGTCCATTGTTTCCATTTTAGATATTGTGATCCTGTCCAGCTACTGGGTTTATATAACCGTGTTCTACTACTACTATTATTATCCCAAGACGTGGATTACCACCGATGAGGAGTTGCGTGATCAACTGTCTGGCAATCTGTGGCTGATGAACATTCTATCCATGACTCAAGCGATGCGTATACTGCGGATTTTCAAAATATCGAAAATCTCCCGTGGTCTTCGTGTGCTTATTTTGACCGTGAAAAAGAGTATTCCTGAACTGGTTCTGCTCGGATTTCTGCTGATGAATGGGATGTTTATGTTTTCGTGCATGATCTATATGGCTGAGTATCGTATGAATGACACGTTTGTAGATATCCCACACTCATTCTGGTGGTCTATTATAACACTGACCGCGGTCGGATATGGTGATATGCATCCCAAGGGTGGTGTGGGCTATTTTATCGGTTCAGTTACCGCGATTTCCGGTTGTGTGGTCACTGGTCTGGCAATTCCGATTATTGGAAACAATTTCAATACGTATTACAAATATATGAAAAATCAATTGATGGAAGATAAATATTTGAAAAATTTACGAAAAGATATGGAATCCACCGGACAGAGCGGTTCCAAGAGTGGTATTGGTGCGGCCGCGGANNNAGTACGACACAAAGGGTTGCGACAAAAGCTAGATCAATTCTTTAACATTACAGCCGATCCTCTGAGACGCATATTTCACGGGCCAGTATCAACAAACGGTAGAAGTGGAAAATTGGGATTGTCCAAGAATCCCGGAACCGGATCAACGCAAGCATTGACCGAGAATCAGCATTTCGCTTGCAATAATATAGCCCGCAAATCAGTTGTTGAGCCACGAATGCAACTGGATGAAGATCCCTCGGCGATCAGATCTACAACTAACAATACTGGTAGTGTAGGCGCAAGAAACAGCATTGTACAGCGACAAAGTGTCTCCCGGAATGTGATCATGGAAGCAGTCGAGGCAGAGAAACGTTTGAGTATCATTCATCCATTAGCGACTGATCATTTGCTCAGTTCCCTGCCCCCGTCACGTCTGTCCCTAGTCAATACGCCACAGATTTGGGTGGACGGGGAGGAGATGGAAGATGAGATCACGAATGTCGGCCGTCGGTTTGGATCGAACGAATTCGGTTCGGTGGACATGTCTCCGGACAGCAACAACGCTATGAACAATAGCAGCAATAACAACACTGCAGGTCAGTCGTTTGTGCCTTCCGAATGCGGACGGCTATTCAGTCCCCATAGTAGTATCTTGTCACCTCATTTAAATGCGGTCTCATCGTACACGGAATTGGATGTGCTCGCCCCGGCCGCAGATGACATGACACCTCAGTCGGAAACCGAATATCCAGAACAAATAAGTGAGGTTGCACTGGTCGCCAGAAGATTCAGCAAGCTGCTGGCCAACAGTCAACGTAACTCGGTCCCGTCAACCACAGCTGCAACCGGTCCGAGTTCACGCACCAGTCGATTAGATACCGTTTCAGACAGGTTGGAGAGCAGTCTGTCCACCACTCCACCGGTAGTTGAGAAACGTATGAACTACGTCTGACGTTATGACATGCTCATTTCACATATGAATCGCCACACATGTACACACACACACACAAATCCAGCCCGCACTATAGTTGAATTGCGTTTTAGGTGCGTGAGTGTGAACGCTTACGCGTACTTTGGGGCGCGTCATCACATGCCACGTGTAACTGCTGATTTTCATGTTTTTTCTTTGCCTCTTACCCACCTTCAACCGTCAATCGCTATCCTTCCGTTCCCTAGTTCCCGACATTCGGAATTTATCAGTCTCTACCAAAATCACCGAACTCCAACGTCTATCCCCCA